ACCCTTGAAGGGTTTGAAGCAGTTTTAAATAAAGAAAAATCTAGTATTGTACTCTGTATAGATTTAGGACTATTTATAATTATCTATTGCTATTGTTATATTCTGTTGTTAAACTTCTTATTTTGTAACATAATCAATACAAGCTAATAACCCTGCATGGTTGATGCGTCATGTAAGAAAAAAAAAGGATTGGACAAGACTAGACGTCCAAAGCAAAGCACAGAATAGAGATAAATTTGCAAAATTCATCGCCAACCTCCAGTAGAGACGTCTTCCAAAGAAGGAAGTAAAATTGTGGCTTATTTCCAGTAAAAATGGTAAATTTTATTAAGATGCGACAAGAAAATAGCTTTAGAACAATACTATAATAGAATTATTTTTTTCATTATTTTATTTTTGAAATCAATTTCGCATATGCATATGATCGAAATGGTTCTTTATCGAAATATTTATCAAAAACTGGACAGACAATAACTTCTGTTATAACACATTCTAATTTAATACTTAATTTAGATTAAAATTAACTACCAACTAAAACAACAATATATAAACAGTCCCTCCTGTAAAATGGTACCCGATTAGCATTCAATGAAATATTTCATTTTATATTACAAGACTTTAAAAACGTGTAAAATTGTGTAAATTGTTTAAAAAGCTTAAATTAAATAACAAGAACAGAAAGTATTTCCGAGAATTTTATTAATAATAGTTACTTAACGTGTAATTTAATCTTGAACACCAATATTACAAAGGTGTACACCTTTCATTTAGTTACATTAATTAGTAAACGTTTTTCTTCTATATAATTTGTATCTATTGGATGGTAAAATATATGTAATAAATGCATATAAGAACAAATTTTATCACGCATGGATTTTATTACGTCACATTGATTGTTTGGATTTCAATACAATATGCCATCCCACTCATTTGTTAATGTTTAAGTAAATTATAAACAATGATATTATTTTCAGGTGTTGCCAAATTTATTGAACGTTTGACGTTTATTGACGATTTATTGACGTTTATTAGATCGATAACATGCAAAAGTTTATTAATTAATCTGACACAATGCGTTTCACTAAAAAGATATGTAAGAGAGGTTTCACTAAATTAATACGAATTTGAGAATATAAAATAATACTAAATTTTTCCTCTTCTTTTTCTTCTTTCTATGTAGACATGACTCTGTCTGTTTTCCAATGTGCTTCCAGTAAATGTCGTTACATCGTTTTCGTGGTCTTCCTTCGGTTATTGCCATTCGGCTTATATGATCGTTTTATTCTACTCTTCTATTTCTTATTCCGAAGCGTTTTTATCTCTGCTGTTTCTAACATCCTTTTTGTCCTCTCTGTGCCAGGTCGTGTTTCTGCCACGTATGTCATTATTGGTCTGATGACTGTTTTGTAAATTCCGCCTTTCATTTCTTTCCCAATATTTTTATTTCTCCATATTGTTTCATTCAGGCAGACTGCGGCTCTGTTTGCTCTATTCACTTGATCTTCCACAGTTTCGAGCTTTCCGTAGCTAGATTATGTGATGCCTAGATATGTAAACTCCGTCACTTGTTCTATTATTTGACTTTTCAGCTCAAATTTACATCTTAGTAACTTTGCTGTTGTAACCATGCATTTTGTCTTTTTTGGGGAAATTAACATGTTAAATTGTCTGGCGGTTATAATAAATTGGTGCAGCATACGTTGTAAATCGTCTTCACTCTGAGAGAGTAGTCTTGCGTCGTCTGCATAGCAGACTATTTCAAGTTATTTTTCTTACATTTGGTATCCTTTTTTAGTTCATATTTTTTTTCATAATAATCGGTCAAATGCCTTCTTGAGGTCCACGAAACATAGATATGTCAGTTTGTTGTATTCTAATGATTTCTCTTGGATTTGCCTCATTATAAATATAGCGTCGGTGCATGATCTTCCCGACGTGAAACCTTGTTGTTCTTCTGCTAGTGTTATAATTTCATGCAGTTTGTTTGCTATCACTTTAGTTGTTAATTTAATATTGAATTTAATAAATCAATTACTCTGTAATTTTCCGGGTCCGATTGCTTTCCCTTTTTAAAGAGAGGTATTAGGATGCTTGACCTCCATTCTTGAGGGATTCTGTTTTGTTCTATTATTTTTTGAATTAATTTTAATAGTTGTTTGGTCAGATCTGGTCCTCCGTACTTTAGGAGTTTGTTCGGTATTCTGTCCTCTTCTGGTGATTTTCTATTTTTTAATTTCCTTAATGCTTCCTTTACCTCTTTCTCCTCAATAGTTAGTTCTTCGTTTGTCGTCAACTCTGGTGTTGGTAGTTCATTATCGTCACCTTTAGCAAATAGGGATCGAAAGTGGTCTACCCAAGTTTCCTTTTCCAAGTTTGGTGATTTTTTATGTCTTATATTTCTAGTTATTTGTCAGCATATCTCAAACCAAATTGTTGATTTTAGTACTTTTTTCTTAAGCTTTTGACAGGAAGCTGACCTTACCATGAAGCCTCTCACGTATTCGAGTTTGGAACACACATCAAATGGCAATGTCTTATAATTTCAAAGTCGGAGATAATTTCTCAACCAGTCAAGTCAGGTATTCGTCACCTGAAACAATGAAATAAGTTATAGTGTTTATGTACATGACGCAGCTCTGATAGCAGAGAATAAAAATAATCTTTAAAAAATATTATATCAGCTCTAGGCTATATTATTCAAAATAGTAAACAAATTAAGCACATGAAAAAATGATCATTATCAGGCAAGCTTAACAACCATGTACAGGTCCTGTGGAGATTGAACCCAAAGTAGCATTTGGCCGTGCAAATTCTTTGGTTAATTTTTGCGGTCGTATTATTTTCAGTGTTCTGAAGAGAGTGATCTGAGAGATATACAAATTTGTTAACTGCTTTGATGCCGTCATTTTCTATAGTAAGTGGCCGAAATATTATATACTCTTCTCATACAGCGTTTAGCGTTCTCCAAACAATATTGATATACTCAGCATATGCAAGGATTTGCACAGATTTATTATATATTAAACCGGTGGTTGTGATTTGTGACATACGTATTAATTTTTCCAGAACCAGATTGAACAGCATCCACGAGAGAGTCTCTGCCTGGCGCAGCCTGTTATTTGTTTTAAAATGTTCAGTTTTTCTGGATTCTCTACATTCAACTTTTTCAAGAGTTAGTTGTGTTCAATTTACTCATCTGGTACTCCTAGCTGTTTCTTTGAACGTTTCTACGCTATATACAGAGTCCGCCTACATACTGTCTTGTAGACTATAAATATGTGAGTATCTATCCCATATTTTAGCGTTTTTTTTAATTTGTCTTAGGATTGCAATATGATGAATTGTCAATTTACCACCTCTAAAATTAGCCATACAAATGGTACCATACAATGGCATAGTATAGTGGAGAATATTTTGTATGCTGCATTTAGAAGCGTAATTCCTCTGTAGTTAGAGTATTAAAAGATATCTCCTTCTTGTATATGATGCAAAGTATTCCCATATTCCAATCACCGGGGAAAGATTTCTGTGTTCATATTTCTTTTAATAACTGCTGTAGTGCCCATTATGTATCGTGGTCACTTTCTTTATATAGCTCAGCTGGAATTATCTATTTCGGGTGATTTATTTCTAGCTAATTTTTAAATGCGTCTGTAACTTCAAGAATCGTTGGTGGTTCTTCTTCCCTCTGGTCTGTTTCGTCTTCCAGGTTGTCTTCTTCTTCCTCAATATTAAGTACCTGGTTAAAGCAGTCTACTCATCTATTTTTTTTAATCGTTTCTCATTGTTAATAGGCCACCATTCGGACTTCTGCATTTGTTTTGTAATTGTCTTGAATTCTTTTCTGTTGATGTTAACTTTCTTATATAATGCTCTAAATTCTTTCTCTTTGATAATGTTTTAAATATATTTAAGTTGCTTATTTAAGTGGTTTTGTTTATTTCTTTTATGTATCCTCTTTTTTTCTCTTCTCTTCATCTGGTAATTCTCTACGGTTGTTCTAGTTCGTCGGGTAAGCATTTTTTTTGTAGGCTTCTCTAGGTAAAGTTTCTGTTCCTAGTTCATCCTTTATTGCTGCTTCAATATCTTCCTTTATTTTCGTCCAGTAGGAGTCTATATTTTTCTGTCCTTCTTCAATTACGTTTTGATTCCTTGTTTTAAGTTCTATTCTGGACTATCTCTATTTATTTTTTTATTTCGTATCCATTTAAGGTCCATGAGAGGCTAAGACATGCTGTCAGACACTGTAGTGCGCCTGTATCGTGCCAAAGCTATTAAAAGGGTGCCCGCTCTTTAGGTCATCGTTTACGCAACACTTTCCTGAGTCTGTCTTACACGGATTCAGATCAGAGCCCCTTTTAAACATGTGCATGATCGTGAGTGCAACAGAGAAAGAAAAAAAAATGGAATAGATACATTAACTAAATAGCAGAAGACAGAACAATGAAAATTGTTTGATAGAGACAGTTGACCAATCATTTAGAAGACATATAGATCGAACTAGAAAGAGATTTTTTAAAGTTGGAGAAAAAGATTACGTTTAAGTACCAGTAGAAGATCAAACAGAATTTTTGATCTCTGTGACGCTTACACATACAGTTTTTATATGCAATTATTTTTTAAATATAGCATTTAAAAATTGTGTTCTCAGTATTTTTTTGTTACGTTCCAGGAGAACAGCCTTTATTGGAGAAATAGTTATAGTGTATAGTTGATATTTTTTGTTACAATAAATATAAAAGTTATTAAAATAAAGTAAATTATTAATTTATGGATCTACTCTAAAAATGATACGAGCCATTCACCCTGCTTCTGAGGGCACATAAAACCGTCGGTCCCCTCGAGCTAGTGTGAATCGACACCAGCTAGTTCAAACAGGGTTAAAGATGCAATTAGTTTGTGTCTGGTTTGCTTCCCTGGGTACCTATATAGCTTTAGAGTTAATCAAACTTTATTGTAATGTTAGCTTTTTTTTACCAACAAATATTTTATTTTTTTAGAGAACTTGCCAAAGAACACGGAGCCCAAATAATGTTTATGGAATGTACCAGTTTCTTTTCAGCCGCTGTGGCCAAATCTTTGGGATACGAGTTAATATGGTCACTAGATTACGAAAACTACAAAGTTAATGATGAAGTAGTATTAAAACCTGCTCATCCCCATAAAGCTTTGCAACTATTTGTATATAAACTGTGATATAATTAATTTAAAGTAAGGAAGTTAAACGGAATGTAAATAATGTAAAACATTAAATGAATAGGTAAATAATAAATTATAAAAACAAAAATTAAATTTTTGTCAAACGTCCAAATTGTTATTAATATAAGCTCAACGCACACATTTAAACTACAATGACGTTACAAGGGTTGTTCTACTTTTTATTATATTTATTTAAAACATTTTTTTGTTATTCATTACATTTTAATTAATTTTCTCATTTCTTTTTTCAAGGTGGCGAACACAAGATTTCAGTACCTGCAAATTATCATTTTTTATCTAACATGATACGTTTTTATTATTTGAATAACTACCTAATGACTGGTTTACCTCCATATTTATACACATGTCACGTGTTAAAGAAATTTCTATATATTATCCAAGAAATAGTTTACCCTATTTTAGAATGACATCTTGACGAATTTCAGTTTGGCTTTAGAAACGGCCTTGTTACGATATAGACACTTTTTAGCATAAAAGATCTGATTAAACGAGCTAGGAATGTAAACAGTAATATTTTTACTTGCTTCTTGGACTTTAAAAATGCATTTGGTAAAATAAAAACAACGGGAATACAAAAGCATGATCTTAGAATCATGGCCAAGTTATATGAACAAAAAACAAATATCGTCAAAGTGGAAAACAAGTACTCTTATCAATTTAGCCATATTTGTCGCCAATATTATTTAAGATTTACCTAGCATATCTTTAGAAAAGCTTTGGATGACATTGAAAAGGAAATATCAGTTAAGGGGATTTCCGTAAATAATTTCTGATATGCTAATGATAACGTTTTACTTACTTACAGTATCAGACGGTATGGTTAGGTAACACTCGACACAAGAAGTCTATTGTGGCTCATCCCTAGGCTAAAGTTGTCCCTTCAACCCAGACTTTTTAAAGTTTTATAGTTGTTTGAGTTGACATAATCAACTAACGAGTCTACAAAGGGAACAAGTGAAGAGGCGATCATGGTTGCTGCCTCTCTCTCTCTGCTCTGCTCCTAATGTCTCAATAACCTTTAAGACAAAGCTTCTGTAGAGCAGCTTCGGCATAGCTTACTGTTGCTATAAGAAGATTTGATGCCGCGTTGATATAAGAGTCCTAGGTATACTAGGGCCAAATAAGAGGTTTGTTTGATGTTGACAAACAGCTTATAGAAAGTTATAGAAAAATGTATATTAAGCCATTTACTAGCATTAAGACTGACGGCTTATACATAACAAAAGAAGTTTCTTTTTTATTTTTGGATATGTTACCTATATGTGAATTATTACTATACCGAAGAATGGTTCTAGTCTGATCAAAGGACTATTAGCTCCTTATAGTAGTTCGCTCAAACTTTGTAAAGGTTAAAAGTTTTCATTGCCCCGAGACCTAGAAATCAATTTATTTTGGGTTACAGAGCTTCAAAGTGTCGGTTTTTATGCGATTAGAATATTATATATTTGAATAATATTCAAAATGTTAGTACATAAATGCGACAAACTTCAGGTGGTCATTCTGTATTAAAACTGACGGATTATTTATTTCTGCAACTGGTTGAAATGTAAATGAAATTTGGTGTGTTTTGAGAGGTTGTTTTTGCACATGTTTTAGTATTAGTATACAATTAGGAATTTTATATTCATTATAGGTGCGCATACAGGTAATGGATATATATTTTTTTAAGAAAAGAGGGGTAAACCACTGATATACTTTAAATTAAAAAATATTTTTGAATTCCTGGTTTAATTTGTGACAAAAAATCTCGATATTTTATTAAGCTACTCTCAACATTTATCTGATGTTAAATACGGAATGTCAAATTAGCGTTTTTTCTGATTTAAATGTTAGTTTGCTATTAATTTTTAACAGCAAATTGGTTAATAAACTTGTGATTGTTAGTAATTATTTAATTTTTTCTTTGTTTACATTTGCCTTTTGTTTTTGGTCGATGTGGCTTGTAGTCATCGAAATGGTCGACAAGCTCGACTATTATATGCTAAGTTGTATAAAGGACGTAGGGTACTCCATCACACAATATTCGGCTGACTAAACAACTGAGTCAACAAATTCACTGTATTTACAATTCTTAAAGAATATCAACTGTATCCGTTTCAATGGATTCTTCATGAAATTGCTTAAATTTCAATTTCTACCTAGCGTTTTGTATACTGTCCGTCTGTCTGCCTGAACATACCTTGGACAGACAAAATAACAAATAGTGTAGTTCTTCGAAGAATGAACAAGGAACGGGAGCTATTGATCACCATCAAGAAAAGAAAGTTGGAATATCTCGGTCATGTGATGAGAGGGAAAAAGTACCGACTGCCTCAGTTAACTATCCGAGGAAAGATTCAGGGCAAACGAAGCGTGAAGAGACGACGTATATCTTGGCTGCGCAATTTAATAGACTGGTTCCAGAGCACATCTAATCAATTATTTGGAATAACAGCTTCAAAGATACGAATAGCAATGATAATAACCAAACTCCGTAGTGAAGAGGACACTTGAAGAAGAAGAAGTTTTGTATACTGACGAGGTGACTTTAAGACGACATTCTATACAAAATTGCCATAATGTCCACTCATGGGATGAGTAAAATCTACATGAAACTTTTAAAGCTCATTTTCAGCATACATTTTTAGTAAATGTATCGCTTTGGATAATTAATGATAACTTCATTAGTTCATACCTTAGTTTCCCACAGGAGAAGTTACTTATTAGTTTTCAAGAAATTCCTCTACAGCTAGAGATAATATTTATTATTGCATAATGATGCTCCAACCGATGTAAGCATATGTAATGTACGTAATCGCTTAAATATAATATAGTCAACTTATTGAATAGGTACGGAATATTAGCCTACTCAATCATCGGATTTAAACCTCTAGATTTCTGCATTGGAGGTATTCTTAAGTCCATAGTTTATTCCACTCGCATTGGAAAATGTTAATAATCTAATTCTGCATAATCGAACTATAAACGGCTATGGAACAATAAGAAATACACCAGGAATATTTACGCGAATACGACCAACAATGAGGTTAAAAGTTGAATCTTGAATCACGCTCAGAGAGCTCATTTTGTACATTTTTTTAGCTTTGCGTCTATTAGTGATACTTTCGGTTATTGTTCTTGTTTAATGTTATTGTAATATGTAGTTCTTGATAATGTATTAAAAATATAACCAATGTTAGTTAAGACAAATTAAGACGATTACCCGTATGTAAATTCTTAATTGTATGTCAAAAATGCTCGATAACTACATTAACTGGGACTAATTTTACATAAGAAAAGTGTCGGGGTCCTTTCAATGAAAGAAAATCTATATTATAATTAATAAAATAGGACTCAGATATTTTTTATGGATATCCAAGTTAACCAGCTTTTTTTCAGTAAAATCAAATACAATGATAAAACAACCAACGATAAAGCATTATATTCGAAATCATATGAATTAGGAGCAATTTTTAGAAAAGTATTCCAAAACAAAACAAGAGCATGTTGAATCCAAAATAATTAGTCCTTTAAATTCCCTTGATTACCTAGTTTCTGATTCCTTCAAATTCATAACTTAATTATCCTAGATACTAGCTAACGTATATTTTTAAACAATATTTAATATATTTTTAATTCTCGTCCACTTTTCCTCAGTACTTTCATTTTTGCTTAATGTCAACTTTATTTTTTATTCTAACACAATGGTTACTTATTTCTTGTTTTACGGTATTATTGGACATCTTTTCTCGTTTAACAGTAACTTTTTGCACTTGGATAGGTTTTGACGGCTAATACTGAATTTGTCTATCTTTTATTTATTTTTATTTATTGTTTTTGTATTAGACAGAATAAACACTGAAGAAGAGCGAATGGGCTTAAAAATTAATATAGACAAGACGAAGGTAATGATGGTTAGTAGAACACGAAATATGCAACTAAATATAAAAGTAAACAATAAGAACATCCAAAAGGTCTCCAAGTTCAGATATCTCGGTAGTTGAATAACTGAAGATCTAGATCCAGACATAGAGACACGTAGCAGAATTGAGCAAGCCAGAACAGCATTTACTAATATGAGAACCTTGCTAAGCAACAGCAGCCCTAACTTAACGCTTCGATATTGCTTTGTAAAATGTTACATTTACTCCATATTGCTATATGGTGTAGAAACCTGGACCATAAAGGATAATGTGATAAACTGATTGGAGGCCTTTGAAATGTGGGTAATTAGAAGACTACTTTAAATTTCCTGGACAGATCACACAACAAATGTCAAAGTATTAAATCAAATGGGCAGACAACGAAAATTGCTGCCAATAATAAAAAGAAGAAAAGTGCTTATCTGGGTCATATATTTTGAAATTTCAAGTACCAGTTCTTAAAGTTTATTATGGAAGGGAAGATAGAAGGAAAACGGGCATCGGAAGAAAGAAATACTCATGGCTTAAAGCCATAAGGGATTGGACAAACCTCGATGTCCATGTACTCTTTAGAGTCACGCAAGATCGAGAGGGGTATACCAGAATTGTCGCCAATATCCACTAATTAGATAAGGCACCATAAGAAGAAGTTTTTGTGTTTGTTATTACTAGATGCTTCTCTACATTATTATGTATTATTATTATTATGTATTATAATATTTCTTATTATTTCTACATTTTTACTATTGAAGTGTACTCTACTATATTTTTAGTCGTTTTTCATTTAATATACGCTGTTTTGATTTCATTTATAATCTAGTTGGCCTTTATAGCCAAGTTTAATTATTAATAATCAAAAGAAAAATATTGTTTCAGTCATATTGAAAGAAAAATTGAAAATCAGCATTTTACAACTACTTTAATTTACAATTAATATACAACGGGCAAGCCAGGGGCCTACAAGGCCTGTAGCGCTATTATATACTCGCATACATCGAGCGATAATAATAGCTGTATATTATGGATTTTATTATTACATATGAATTTTAATTTTTACAGTTGACATATTTATTAGTTCAATCAAAGATAAAATAGTTATTACAATTATCACGACGTAGCACATTGACGTAGCAACAAATGGCAGGTAGTAATTTGGCGTTAATTTCTAATACAGGTTCGAATAGTTTATGATAGCTATATAAATATATATCTTGTTATCTCTCTGATTTAATTTTTAAAGAGATCAAAATATTCAAGGTACTTTAAATGGCATAGGTAACTCATACATGTATTTATAGATTTTAAAGAAGTTTATAGTATAATACATACATTTAAAATCTACAAAAGACGTAAAGGTGTAACGATGTATCGGTATTCCACTTATCCTTAATTGGTCCAGCGTCGCCTTACGCTTTATACATAAAT